AAATGTATTTACCCGTACCCCCCCCCCCCCCCCCCCGCGACAGAATTTCGGGAAAGGGAGAGAGAGTTGGGGGCAGGACCGGGGGGCGTCAGTTTGTTTGGAGAGCACGTTGTGACTTTAGTTGCTTTGTGAAAAATTCGTTAAGGTAAACGCGGAAGGGGGGGGGGTGCTTCGTCCGCATACGATTTTGGTTTATTTATCTGTCCAGTTCTCGCTTCGCTGCACTGCTTGCTATGTCTGGTCTACTAGAATGCACGGCGTATTTTTGTCTGTTGTACGGGGTCTTTTACGGCGGCGGCAGCAGCGGCAGCAGCAACATTCTTTCGAAAGCACTCAACGTGTGGTGGCGCAGGCTTGACACAGCCTGCTGGCCAAACATCATTGGACGGTATTCGCGTGTGAACTGGGTGGGCGAAGTCGCACTAAAAGTTGGATGGCCTCTTGCGGTGTGATGAAATCGATCCGGTGCACTCGCGCGAGCTGCCGACCAGCTCTGCCCACGCATGCATGCCGCGTTTCTCAAAGGAAGCGCGGCACCGAATCGGCTGTGCGTGGAAGCTGGAGGTCAAGCTAGAGGTGCCATCAGCTCCCTTGTGTTTGTTTCGCGTTCATCCAGCTTTGCCGCAGTGTTGAGCTGTTGTTCAGAGCGTGGAGATTGTCGTTGTACACAGGTTGATGCTTTACACAGGGGATTGTTGTTTGCTCTGTCCTGATGTCCATCCCGCCAGCCTTTCTCGCCACGCGTTGAGTTTACACTCTCAGTTCACACGGGTGCACGAGGGTGGTTATTCAAGTACCACGGTTATGATGGAGGTTGGTGGGATTGTTCCTGTGCCCGGGGCGAGGCATCCGTGGGACTGCTGTTTGTTTGCCGAGGGAGGCCAAGAGGTGCATAATGAACAAGGTTGCCCAACGCAGGGGTGGGTTCGACTGAGTCTCTCGAGCTTCTCTCTGTGTTCTTGGAAGCCCGTGCTGGCGGCGTACGAAAAAGAAGGCGCGTCTGTGTTGGAAATCTTGCTTGCTAGATGTTGACAGTCGCATGCGCATAAGGCGTTTTTTTTCAACATTGGGTGTTAGTTCGGAGCTTTTCTGTTTTTTTTTTTGTGTCGCGGACTGTCGCAAGGACTTTTAGAAATGACGTGTTTTGTTGTGGTCGTTGACGTTGTTTATGTTTCTGTGTTGTGTTGCTAGGCTATCGAGAGGTGTGATACAAACAGCAGGTGGAAACGAAGCGACACGGTATTACCCGATTGCTGGCGGCGTGAGGTTGAAGGAATGATGTTCACGTCCGGGATAAGATTTAATCATGTGGAGAATAACTTGAAGCGAATAGCTGTCGTCGATGACGACGAACTGCTGTAGTTACCATTAACGTTGTAAAACTGTTGTCACCTCCATATACCACTTACCTCCACACTCGATATTCCTACAATATGCACCCTGAACATGACAAAAAAACTCGTTTTTCAGCGGTCCCACCAGCAGTGCACACCTCAGAAAAACGATTAAGAATGAAAAAAAGACAAAGATGTTCGAAACTGCTGAACAAGAACCGCCGCATGCCGTCTGCCCATCCACCGCCTGGTGGGTTCTGCGGCAAGGCTGCCTGCCCACGTCACGACACCGAAAAAGTACGATGCACTGGTGACAAAAAATTGTTCTAGCCTGCTGCACTCAGCGCAGGTCATTCGTTGTTCACAAGCCATTCAAGAGGGAATCCTTGTAGTCATTCGTTGTTCACAAGCCATTCTAGCGAATCCTTGTCGAGCGTGGTCCCGCCGAGGAGTCGAACCACCACCCTCCCCTCCCGCCAGAACTCCACCCTATCCAACCCACCCGGCCACGCAAAGCCCTTGGTCTCCTCCCTGTTCTCCCCGGGGGGGGCGGTGGAGGGCGATGACGTCAGCCCCCGCATTGCCTCGAGCCGCGGCCAGTTCTTCCGCTGCTCTTCGAGCATGCCCTCCCCGAACCTAACGACCTTGTCGTTGAAAGCGTGGGCGGATGCCCGGATAAGGAGAGGTGGGAGAGCGAGGCACGCGCGGAAATAAAGCAAAAACAACAAACAGGAAAAAAATGAGAAACGAAAGGGATGCAAGTTGTAACAAAGACACGCGTGCATAGCAGTTTCTTGTCCCGCAATGAGACTGGCTATTTTCAATGGTCAGTCTGTGAGCGGTCGATGCTAATCCACGAAACACACACACATCATGGCCTTTCGAAACATTTTCTGCTTTCAGCCGCACTGAGACTGACGAAAAATTATTGGTCACCGGGTTAGCGCGGTTGATTCTAACACGAGAAACTCTCACACACACACATACATCATGACCTTTGGAAGCATTTTCTGTTTTCAGCCGCACGGAGACTGGCATCCTTTCATTAGTCAGCCGGTTATCCCGCTAAAGTACTGATGTATCATCATTGGTCAGCGCCGTTCATGCTAACTCAAGAACACACACACACACACATACACACACACCTTGAGGGTCCGGGGCCACACCGCGTGGCGCACGCTGCGGTGCTGACGAAAGTTCCTCCCCAGCGTCAGGGATACCAGCCCGGGAGGCAGCAGCCCCCGCGGTGGTAGCGGCTTGTTGAAGTGCTTCCCGAGCGTCAGCTCCTCGAGGCTTGCCGGAAGGAGAGGAACGGTCTCCGGATCGTTCTCCCTCCTCTTCCCCCTGCGGTGACCACGATCACCTCTGCAGCTACCGCCAGCGGCAATCGGTGGAGGCGGTGTGGACCCCGCTGGCTGTCCGGGCCCTGATCGACTCTCCCGCCTCTGGCAGGCTAGCTCTCGATTGAAGCTTGAGCCGAAGGTCAGCTTTCGGAGGTTTGGCGGCCACGCGAGTCCAACCAGGCGCCGGTTGAACCCCCGGTCGAAGGTCAGCTCTCTCAACGCCAAGGGAAGGTCGCTGCCGTCGCCCAGGTTTTTCGCTGGCGCCGCCCACACGAGGCTTGTTATGCTTAGGCGTGGGAGTCGCGACGCAGCGGCAGCAGCACCACCACCACCGCCGCCGTTGCTGAAACCGCCGGCGTTCCTCTCGGTCCCGCCCGTCTTCTGTTGCTTCTGCCGCCGCCACAAGCTCCACTTTTTTCTCCCTTTAGCCCTGACTTTACTCCCGTCGTTTTCGCTGCTGTCTCCCCCGCCACGGTTGTCCCGGCCACCGCCATCACCGGGTCTACTCGTCCGGGCCCACATGGCCCTTGGGGTCTGGGCGTCAACTCGCACGCGCACCGGGGTGCAGCTTCGGCACAACTCGCAGAAGAAGAGGGAGGCGCGCTGGAGCTCCACCACTTCGGCCCAGGAGGGGCCCAGGAGGCCGGACTCAACCAGGACGACGAGCGCGTTCTCCGTCAGTGCTGTTGTTTCGAGTTGGTTATGACAGGCGCATGGGGGTGCCGCATGATGCGGTCATTGGGAGTGCAGCGTGTGTACACTGCTGTAGACGGAGGCATTTACGGACCTTCCCCAAGAGCTCATTCTTAGGCACAATCAGGCGATAGCTACGTGAGATCCGTGTTTCATGCTCACGAAGAAAAAAAAGGAAACAAAAACATTTACAGCAGTAGTGGAGGCGAAATGGCCAGTGCGGTGAATCGCTCGCAATTGGGGAAACGGGGTCAAATACGCGCCTCTGGGTATTAACGGCCACTGACACACGCACGCATTTAGGCAAGCAGAGCGTTCCTTGGCACACCAGCCTGCTGGTAGGTACAAGAAAGAGCAGCACACCAGCCTGCTGGTAGGATCTAGTGTAGACTACAACCGTAGCTTTCTTGAGGCGGACGTCCTGCAGGCATTGTAATCGAAACGCCTATTGTAGTGGGTGGGATCTAATGCGCAGCAAAAACCCTGGTGTTGCTGATCGCGAGGTTGCAGCCTGCAGTGGCGTGCACAGCCAAGACCAGCAGCGTTGCGGAGGCAATCATGAGCGAGGGAATGGCTGCATACCTGCAGTGTGACCGTAGAATAGCAGTTGTGAGAGAGGCTGTCGTACTGCGGGTTCCTCTCTGGCCAGATGCTTGCCCTTGCGTTTCGTCATGATGTGCTATAACCTCGTATATAAATTCGGCTGTGTCCGAGTCAACAACGACACCACACAACGTGCCGGGTGAGTGCGCTATGCGCTGTACGGAAGTATACATAACCTGCTCTCGCTGTCATAGGGGGCTCCGTAGAATAAGCTGACAGTCCCGCGCTCGCTGTAGGCTTCCTGAAGCCTGAAGCCTGAAGTGGCCATCAACCATTACTCTCAACACTGTGTGGCAACTGCTGCTAGTTTGGCGCAACGGGACTCCTGGCACATGTCTCGTTTTGCGGCTTTTGCCCGGCTACTGCGCCGTCTCTGGCCACTGCTTCGCCAGTTGCTGCTGCTAACCAGCCTCAGCTTACCTCCAGCTCTAGCCTTCGCAATCAGGAAGATCATCGGTGCGCGAAGGTAACTGCTGTTGCACACACCGTCGTTGCTGCATCGCCATGGTTTATGAACGCGTGCCTCTACCTCATGCTTTCGTGAAAGCTGTAGACCGGATCGAACACCTTACATAGGTCTCTCCGAATCTGTCTCACAGGCTTAGCATGCTTTCCTTGGGAGGTTTACCTGATCTCAGGTAGTGTATGTTGTACTGCGGTACTCACAAGGCTACCTAACCCTAACCCTAACCCTAGCTGGGCTGTACACACACATATGATGATACTGTATTAGTCTACTGCTGTAACTGGCACATGTGTGTTCCCCATGACTCCATCAGGAAATCCACGTACACACGTTTTACCATTTTTAGTCGAGTTACCATGACTTTCACCTATATCGTTCAAGCCTACGTTTGTTCCAATCGCCGAGTATTACCCAAACGGCAGCTCTCGCCGGTAGGTGACGTGTGAGTTGTTTTGGTTGCGAGAATTCCAGCATTGCTGAGATTTCAAACTCAACAGTGCTTCTATTTACTACCGCTTTGTAACATGTTATGGATACAAGGCAAAGCAGCACCGAATACTGTATCAGTTTAACCCAACGGTTTAACTGTGCGGGTGTGCTTCATCTGAAGTACGGGATTCGACATCATCGAGCCTCTCTTTTTTTTCCACTCTCTCGTTTTCTTTGCATGTTTCCACCCCTGTTTCTGCCTGATAATAATCTACAAAAAAAATCGGCCGTGCTCGAAAAGGTGACTGAAACTCCTGTGACAATAAAATTTGCAGGCGGTCTATACATATCCGCCTAACACGCGGTGCATACCGCCTTCGCGAGAAAATAGAACAGAGAGGGGTGTTCGCAGACCCTATCCCTAATCCTTGCCCTAACCCAACTTCCTGCATTCTCTACCCAACATGTTTACCTAATAACCAAACCCCGTGGGATTTGGCCCCGCTTTCCGAAATGAAGAAATTAGTTGGGCTTCTTACGCGGAGGAAAAAAGGCAAATTCTCACGGCCCAAGTTCTCACAGCCCGAATATTCCAAGGATTCCGGCTGGCCTGTGAGAAAATTGGCCCATCTTCTATTACCGATCGGCTGATTTTTTCGCTGTGATGATTGGGAGGGGTCACACGCCGATCGTGCCAGAACGATGAACTAGACGGTCTACTGCCCAAGCAGAGGCCAGTATCGTGAGGTAATACACATACCCTCTGCCGGTATCTAAAGTTCAGGGCGTTCTGCGTCTTGTTGGCCGCACCGGAGCCGAAAACGTCAACCCTGCCACGTTGATCTGGTGAGGTTCTTGCCTTCGGCCAAACAGAGCCGTTTTTGTGCCTGCTGCGTGTGTGACCAGTTCGAAAACGCATGCCAGAGAGAGGCATTAGGCCGACGACATCCACAAACTGCAGCCGATGGCGTGTGGTCAACACGCATACCCTCTGCTCGCGTCCCAGAAACAGGGCGTATTGTTCAGTTTTGATTGCGCACGACCTGCAAACGTGAACCGGAGTGTATTTCGGGTGTTGGCTTTTTGGACGTTGCCTTTTTTTTTTCTGGTTGCTCCGAGTGCGGTCAGTCCCACGACGCACGGCAGAGGGAGGCCCAAGGCGCAGGACATCCACAAACTGCAGCCAATGGCGTGCGGTCGTACATATGGCCTCTGCAGGCTATCCAAGAACAAGAGGCTCTATGTCTTGTTGGCCGCACACGAGCCAAAAACCGTAAACTGAAGCATGGTGCGACCCACACAAACTTGAATCGGCTTTTTTTGTCCACCGGGAAAAATAAAATGTCGCGAGGGGCCGTAAGAAGGTCGCTCGGATCTGATTTATTTTTCCCTTGCACCTCACCCCCCCCCCCCCCCCCCCCGTCAGAGAGAGAGAGAGAGAGAGAAAAAAAAACGAACAGAATACTCCTTTTAACAAAAGGCCTGATCTTGGCTATCGCCAGATCACCAAGTTTTTCTGTATGCATATAGCTGGTTATGTTCCTCATGAACGAGCTCTTGGCGCGGGAGGTGGCTGAAGTGCCCTCTCTACTCTGTGTTTGCAGTCTGCGGCAACGACACCGCCATGCTACTGATGCCGACATCCAGACCGTACCTTGATTGGAAGTCTCTCGCATAACTCTCCAGAAACGCCGTGAACAGCGTGAGATGTGCAAATAACGAAGGCGTGCAAAAACAGAAAACACCTGGCTAAGGAGCAGCGGAATTGGCCGAAACACTGCGGATCGGTGTACGAAAGCGAGGGCTGGTCACGTAGACTGTTCCACAAGGCAGAGTAAAGTCTGAGCCCTTTTCAGTACGTTGCGGCAACAACACCGTCTCCTGCTTTCATCGCAGGATCTAACCCCGTGCTCTATCGATCGAATCTTTGTGTACCAGTATATTTTAATATGTTATTGCTTATATAACGCAGCGAACCCATCTGTCTATGTTTTGCGAGTTGGGATTTTCCTTACGCTTGACGCTCGCCACCCCTTCTCCCGCCCTTCATCAGGAGAGCGATGCCGGAACTGTCCTTCAGCGCCTTCTGGAGAGACGCGAGCCTTGGTCGGCTACAGGAGGCACGTGGCAGTAACGACACGCGAACGTTCGGATGCGCGAGCTTCTACGTCCTTCTGCGTGTCGCAATTTCGTCGAGTTTTTTTGTCGCACTAGGACGGCGTGAGGTGCACCCCCCCCCCCCCCCCCTCTCACCCCGGGCACACGCCGTCCATTAACCCGCCAGCGGTTTACCTACGATAGGGCGACCGCTTGCCGTTGTATTCCGGAACGTGCGATCAAACGCGGATCCGAAGCAGGCTGTGTGCCTACACCTTCTTTTTGCCCCCGTTCGATTTATTCTTCGTCGCCACACTTTGTGTTATGCCCCCCCGATCTCTCCGCCACTTCTCTTACAGCCTACCGCCCCCCCACCCCACCCGCACGAACGGCAGGTGTTGATTTCTGATAATCACGTGGACGTGAAGCTCAGGGACGGCCTGGTAGTCGGCGATGGTGGTGGTAGGGCGGGTAGTGCGGCAACGGCAGCTGGAGAGGCGGGCGTTACTAGGTACCGCGCGCGTTTGTTGCCGTTTGTGGACGGCGGAGACTTGGTGGACCTGTTGGCGAAACAAGATACGGTGAGGCGAAAAAGAATGCAAGAACGAGGAGGGAAGGGGCAGCGGCGGGGTAAGGGAGAGAGAGAGAGAGGCCATTGGGAGTGAACAATATGATATGGGAGATGAGCATGAGAGTTGGGCATGAAAGGTAGGTGTCGGAACAAGCAGATGGGGAAAGAGACAAGGTGCCCCCCTTTTGCCCGGAGGAGGGCGTACTCACGCCAAAAGCTCATCGTTGGCAGTCTTGCATGAACGGTAAGTATCCCCCCCCCCCCCCTCGGTGTTTGTCGTCGGGGTTGGGTTTTCGTCGCTCGGCAACGACGTCGTAAAACAAGCCAATTCACTTAGTGAACTCGGCAACCAGGTTACCGCTTTTTTTTTTGCCTTTTTTTTTTTTTTGGCGGTAACCATGAATGGTGGTCGAGTAGATTATGTTGTGCGGGGTCGAGAACCCTCACTCCGCGCAAAGGAGATAATCGCACGTTGTGTTAAAATGGTCAAGCATCCTCGAGGCAGTTACACAGTGCTTACAACTGTCTTTGGAAGTGAAAGCATCAGAAAATAAATTAAGTCATACGCGGCTGTCATCCGTACCCAAGGAAGTAAGCACAAGATGCCGAACACCCTTAGCAGGATGCAGCTCACCCTTCATGCGACTCGCCGAATACCTCACGGTGCTTCGCGCTTGGTGATGTGAGAGCCTGGTCTGGTGAGAACCCGGCGTGCTCCGTCCCGGCTTTGTAGGGATGCGAGGTCAATGGTCCAATGACTACGGCATGCACGACTACAAGCACCCCCCCTCCTCCCTCTTTCACTCGCTCCGGCCCCCGTCCGCGGCCCGGGGTTTCCCTCATCATCTTTAGGCGTTTGGCGCTAAAGACCCTCCGTGGGGACCGCACCTCATCACCGGCCTGCTGACCGTGTTGCCCTTCGCCTACATCGGGATGGCAGCTAGAGTGCTGACCAAGTCCAACCGTCTCGGCAGGGATGACGACGGCGTTGGTCGCGCGGTGGCAAGAGGGGGAGAGCTCATCCGGTGAGGGGACGTCGCGGAGGGGAGTCGACCGGGGGGGGGGGCGAGGGGGGGGGGGGGGGGGGGATTTCCAAACGCCCGGGTGGGAACAAGGTTTGACCGTTTTTCCCCCCCCCCCCAAAAACCGGGGGGGGGCTGCGGGGGGTTTCCCCAGACG